CCATAAGGTATCCTCATTGTGTTGGTCAACAGAATTTGCAGGAGTGTTTGAAAGATCATTCCCAGAGACTGAATTATCATTTGAGGAACCCGAAGTCATTTATTATTCCAGTATAATCCTTAAGACAGTAGTTACTGCTTGGGGCAGATGACAATGTGCAGATACATAAAAGATTAAAAGAGTTATAGTCCAAAACCCAGTGCAATACAGAATACATCAGTGTGACTGCCCCCAATTTCTCCTTCCATCCCATTTCCCATAAACTCAAAACCTTATGCAAATCAAGACTTTAGGCTTGATATACTCTGTATCATCTGGAGATATTATAATTTATCTGTCTTTGTCACTTGTTTACTTCGTTATGTATACTTCCTGTACTGCTTCTCCCAGAGTTCTGATCTTGAAAAAATTGTCTACACCCAATAAACAAATATGTACTTTATTCGGCGCATATGAAGCACAGCTACCAATGTTTTCTTCAGACATATGGACAGTAGAGAATAAGAAAGAGACTCAAGAGCTATTCACACTTCATCACCAGTCAGAATGACAGCTGTCACACACTTTTCACCGAGTCAGTAAAAATAATACATTAAGATCAAACCCACCAGGACTTCATCCATCCCTTGAACAAGACCTTCAGGGGAAGGGATGAGACGACTAACAGTGTGGTTTTGCTTTGAAAATCTCCTACCACAGTGCAAGTCACGCTCTTAAAGGATACAATAGACAAATGAAATCTATAGCCGAGACTTGAGTCTCAAGTGTTTTCTGTATTAGATGACTGTAACTACATTTGGCTTTCTATCTAAGCTCCAGGACATTTGATTCGTAACAGGAATGCCTTCCTTTTGGAAAATAACTGGCCATTTTCTGAGTAGCTTCACTGAATCTGTAACTCTGATTCAGGCTTGACAACATTGGTCTGATAAAAACCTTACTAAAAATATCCTAACAGAGCAATGCCAGAAGACTTACTACTTTGAAAACAAAACAAAACAAACATAAAAAAATGCAAAAAGCCAACCTGTTCCTGGGCACAAAAACTCAAGGCATCTAAACAGAGAGGTAACAGATCACTGGAAGGCTTTGAAACAACTTCAGAATTTTTACTAGAAAACAGTTAAAACAGACAGGAGAGTCCCCCGCCACAGGCTGTTACTGGCAGTCCAGACCTCCAGCTCAGGCTTCTCATAGCACATAACTCACCTTCTGCGTAACACAAGGTTTCTAGTACATTATGCAGAAAAGCCTAAAGATACAAATCACGTTTCAGCCATCACCTCCCAAACCCCAGCTGCACAGTCCTTTCCATTTTTTGCACTAGTTCTGAAACTCTTGATTATGCAGCAAGCTGATTCAGCTTGTTAATTGAGAAGAAAAAATTTCACTTTTTTTTTCAGTTTTCTACTGGTTTAACAGGCTAGATCATCTCAGTGCAGACTTGACAATAAAGTTAGATGCAAGGTAGGAATGTAAATCATTAGACTGGAAAGGAAGCAATACAAATTCCTCCTTCTCTTGTAACAACAGGAACCATGCTTAATTTTATCTTTAGGATAAAATGCCCCTGAGAACCTCATTAGCAGCATCCAGATAATATTGTGGTCCTGGGAAAAGGCCCAGAATGTGTATCTGAACAGATTTAACTCTGACTACCTTGCACAAAGCACTTCGAAGGGCTTCAACAAAACAGGTTCCCAACTGCTGAAGACAAAAGTTTTAAGGTCTTATCATGGAAATTTTAAATAACAAAAGACAGGCCAGCATGAGGGAAAGAACTGTGGTCAGTGTTATAGGATTTCAGATTGTAACATCTTTCTTTGAGGTCATCATGATGGTTTTCAATTATTCACTGGATTCCTTTTCCAGAAGTGTCTCCTGTAAGCAGCTCCTTCACTAGCTGAAGTCAAGTGAAAAATGTCACTTCAAAAGACAAAGTTGCACTGCAAATCACCCAAGTAAACTGAAGGGGGTTAAACACAATCTAACCTACTACCACTGACTCACACCTTAAGAGCTCCTGTGGAGTATTATACTAAAGAGACTGTGGACACAGGCTTATATATCTGATCTCTACACTGATACACACTGCATGATCAATTGGATTTTGCATTTATTTTTTGTTTCATAAATACAAAAATTAATATCTGAATGAAACCTACACGGGTTTCTAAGGAAGCCACTTCATGAAAGCAGTTACTTTGGAACTACAGTGTTACTGAAATTCTCTTCCTTTGTAATTTAAAAAAACTTCACTTTAAGTACCTCCAGAGAGAATTTGTTACAGTGAATCAACTGTTCAAAATCCCTCAGACACTATTTTAAAAAGTACATAAAATCTGGAGGAAAAGAATAGGGCAAGTGAAGATTTTCCTGCATTGCTATTATCTGTAAAATGAAATAAAAGCAGAGGTAAGTATTTTCAAAATTTGTATTTCTGAATTATATTTCAGTACAGTAAAAGGCGGCTCGTGATATTTCTACTCTTGCGTTTTATAAAGGTATTGTAAAGCCTGACGGTTTGTAAAGTTAGTAGTAGTCCTAAAAAAAAACCAGGCCAACAAGTACCTGGCACATGAACTAAATCCAAAGTCTCTCTTCCCATGCTGCTGTGTGACTGCAGCTGAAGATGGAATATCACTAAGGCAGCTTAATTCCCCTTATCCAGTTCAACACCTAATTATTCAGGTACCACTGTGTATTATTGCAAATCCAAACAGGACTGGGTGATATGGATTAAAAGTAACTGGTTTTAAAAGAAAGTTCATTCAACCTACTACTTAGAGTGATCAGGATTTGTGAGCATGGAAACACAACATAATGCTCAACTGCTTTGCCAGATGAGGCAAAAACTACACTGGTTTTCCCCAAAGCTAGAAGTTATATAGTTACACTATTGCAAACCTTTTAATAACAACAGGACATGTTCTAAGAAACATGAGAGCCACAGGTAGTTTTCTTTTTTCCCTTCTGTTTTTAAGACATCATTTATTTTGATAAATATTTACATATTAAAAAAACCTACCAAGAACAGGACTGCAAAGTCTTATTACCAATTATATTTAAACTTTTCCTGGCAGACACTTGTTTACTCTACTCTTTAATATGTAATTACTGACATGGAAACTCTATGGTCTCCTTAAACTGTACCTTTAAAACCTAAGATGTGAACTACAGTTTGTCAGACTTTCAAAGAAAGTAGTAAATAAAAATTAAACATCCAGAGCAATCTTCATAACACATGATATATGAATCTTAAAAACTTATTTTTTCATAAAAATATGCGTTTTAGGTATAAAGTGCTTTGTTTTTTACAACACAGAAGACATCATCTCTTGAACAAAAAATTGTACAAAACTGAAAGCAATTATCGGTATGAGGCAGAGGTTTAATTCAACAGTCCTGATATATGCTAACAAAGTAATAGAAACTCTCCTCCCACCACTGCAAGCAAACAAGAACCCTGCATCTGAAACTTTCTCTGTAATATTTGAAGCGTTCGTCATACAACCAAAGAACAATAATAAGGAACTATTTGATCATCTGTAAGAAATGAAAGCATTACATCTTAGTGATTTTTTTTAAATAAGCTATTTCCTTCAGTTGATACAAGAGATACCCTCTGGAGAAAGAGGAAATACCTCGCTGTTATCCCAATTCCTCCCCTGATACGCATCACAGCATTTTAGAATGACTGACAGCTTTGTCTCAAGAGTGGTTGAACATAAGGAACAGTGCTTCTGCACTCCACCATGAAAAGGTCCACACGTATTTCCAGTCAAGGGTAGTAATCTATTTTAAAACAAGAATTTATTGTGTTATAGTATAAAGACACTAAACACAAAACAAAGTGTTTAACAACATGAATATTGACACAAAATAAAAGCAAGATAGTTTCAAGCCAACTCCGTAACCATTTCATGTGAGAAATTCCAAGTGAAAGAAAGTTACATACACAAGGTCACCCTAGGAAAAGGATGGCACCTTCAATTAATTCAAGCCCTATTTCAGGACATCATAGCATTGTCAGAATAGTTGCATTATTTTGAGGGCTTGAGTGGTATATAGGCTTTGCCTTGGCCCTCTATATATATGCGAACTTACCCACAGATCTACAAGAGAACCAATGGAGGCATTTCTACTGTAAACTAAAAGACCTGAGGTACATTCTTTTCTAATCTACCTTGCACTTTTTTGATCTAAGTATATTATAGGGGGCGGGAGTTTATTAAAGAGCAGCATAAATTTGGTTATTTAACTTCACTATAGTCCATGTGATAGCACAGGTCAATAAAACGTATAATGTTTTGCACTACAACACCCATCTTTGACAAAATACAATACAGTATGTCATAAAGCTTCTATGAAACCATGTCTTGTAGTTTCACAAGCTACTATATAAAAAGATAACTGAATCTGAGATGTACTTGAGCCATTTGTACAGACATTACCTGGTGTCACATTAAGGTCTCTTTCCCGTAGACTGGTTTGATAGGATCCATTATGTGAACCGTTCATACATTAATTTCTCAAAGATGCATCAATTGTTTCAATTAATACAGAGCAGTTAACATGAATATACAGATTAAGTATAAGATTACTGCTCTTCCATATGAAATGTTTCCAAAAATAACCAGTTTGATGAACTCACAACAATAATATTTTGCTAAACAAAAAGTTGGAGCATAAGTATTTCATTTGTTTAAAACTATTTTTTTTTGGCTTCTAAAATGAACTGAATTCTATGTTTCAAAGGCTCGTTGTGAAAATATATACACACATCAAATTCATATCCAAAGCTAGATTTTACCATTGAGTTTTAAAGGCCAAGAGATATTTTCAGTACAGTAGAAAAAAAATAGCAGTTCCTGAAGTTTATTGTAGCCTCACTTCACTGCCAGCATCTATAGTCCTGTTGCTGTACAAAATACTCCTCTGAAGCAAATCCATCTGAACTCTATCCACCCTGAGTTTAGCATCTATACTTTTTTTTAAAATGTTTTAAACAATAGGTAACAGAGAAGTATGTACAAGGCTATAAAACATGTCAGTTATCATACAGCAGATTAAAAAAAAAAAAATCAGTCTTTTCAGCCAATTTTCTGTTACTGTAGTAATTCATTCTGGATTGGGTTTAGGGATTTTTTTTGCTTTTGTTTGTTTGTTTTTACATCAAGTAGCTACTTGATTTAGACATTCATGCATTAATTGCTTGAATTTCTTTTTGAGTGCAACAATAAGGCAACAGTAAAAAAAATTATAGAAATTTTGCATATGTGTAAAGGTATTAAGTTTATAAAAGTGCTTCCTAAAAAGACAACCTAATTGCAGTATCAAAATATTACAGAGTGCTGAGAACAACTATCATTTCAATAAATGTTGCTCCACAGAAAAATGTCTGATTTTAGGCTTTTTCCCCTTTTTTGGTGAAGTAAAAGCCCGGAAAAATTGCCATGGCTGCATGGGACAAGCAAGTTAAGAAAATATACTTTAGTCTAAACTTAAATAAGAAGGTCCACACTTTTTTGTGAAAACTTTAAGCCTCTGTCAAAAATGTATTTTTTTTTCTTTTTATAGTACAGGATTAAAAGACAAGATGATGCTTACAAGATAAAGAAATAATTTACATGAAAATATCTTCTGACAAAGCTTTTCAATCAAAATATTGTTTTGTAACATTCAAACATGACATACAACACAAAAGAAACAGTGAATGCAAACAAAAAATGTTATATGGATTGCTTTTGAACACATAAATAAATGAAATATTGGTGTAGGCAGTAGGGCTCATGCTGATGGCTAGCAGGAAATAACAGTGTGCAATCTATTTGGAAAAAGCTCTAAAGTACAAATTACAAGCCCAATTACGGACTGCAGCAAGTTCAGTTATATCACTGCCATCCTCTATCTCCAAAATAAATTCTTGTTTAAATCACTCATACCCTAAATTACTCATACCTTTGCTTCAGAGATATGAATAACTATATACAAAAAGTAGTTTTATTTCACCATAGGGATAACATTGTACCTCTCTGCCAATGTCACTTGAAAAGCCGCCCATGTCAAAACAATTTGACAGCAGATAAACAATTCAATAAATATGTAATGATCTTATTACAGTCCTTCAGCTAGGCATGTTAACTCATGCTGCTAGTTTTGTGGTCACAGTGCATAGAATCCAAATATAAAAGAATGGGCTGGATTTAAGGTAATTGTCAATCCCTTGCTTATAATCCAAATGTATCCAAAACTTTCGTAAGCTCTGTCATGCGTCAATCTTTTTTGTGGCAGGAGCAAAACCTTTCCCTGGTACAATGTCCATTGCCGGCAATGGATGCACCAAAACCGCCAAGGAGCTCAGTGTTATTGCACAATATATGAAGACCTGGAATTCTTCCAAAAGCTTAAAATAAAAATAATGGAATTATTCTGACATTTCTGGACACCTGCATTAATACTGTATGACTAATAAAAGCATGTCAGTTGCATGGACTGAACCAGCGATCAACATGCGCCCAGAATGCACACTAGTAAAAATGCAGTCAAAGGAAGTAGTCTTCATTGCCTATAGGTCACTTCCAGTCAAAGGTTAAAGTTCAAAGACTGAATGATCAAAGTGCTCATTTTCTCAGTAGGACTATCTTCTGCTACGAGGATCACAAAATGGTGGCATCAACATGTGTCATCTTTAAAATAAAAGAAGAGCATTTATGGAAAACATATAAACATTCTAATTCTAAATTAGTAAGGTGCTATATGCAGAAACAATTCCTAGCATAGACAGTAACATGCGGAGGAAATACAGGAAATACACTGATTGAATAATTCTATTGTTTTGTTCAATACTGACGCGGGGGAAAAAAGAGATTATCAAAAACTAAACTTCTGAAATACACATACACCATCAAAGATATTAGCATTAGCAATTATTCCATTAAAAGGACAGTCATTTCTACGCTCAGTATTTAGAAAGCCACTTGCCCAGAAAATGAAAAATCAAATATTCTTAACATTTTGCATCCTTGAAGTACAGTAGGTCCACACCAGTTATCGAATTGAGACATCCTTTTATAAGGAATATATAGGGATAAGAGCAGGCAGAGTGGGCTGCTTCTGATGTACGCTCAACCCTTTAAACATATATATCTATATATATATTTATACACATGTATATTCATTTATTTCTCAAGACTCAACACAAAACTATAGCTGACAGAGTTACGCAACAATAGTAGGTTGCTACTATAATCCTAAAATCTTAAACCTAAAAATAACTGACATATGCTACATTTCAGATACTGTGATTGGACAGAATATATTTTAAAAATGTGTATTCTATGCAAATCTTTTCTGAATTATGCTCCATATCAAATATTTGTCTGTGAATGCTCTCCCTTTTAAACGTTCTCCTTCACATATCAACCTGCAGTATATTTGTACCTGCTAACAGTAAATACTGAGTTGTTAACAGAAAGCAAACTTACTGTCTGCTTATTTTTAAAGCACTTGTAACCTCGCACACCTAAAAAATGTAGCCCTATAAACATTCTACATTCTCACGGGAAAACATTATGTCGTCAATATTATTACTTGTAAAAAACCTTTTCAATTTTATAGTAGGCTACTGTACATGTTAAGAAAAAAAAAAAAAGGAGAAGGATGCAACAGAGAGAATGGGTATTTAAATGGTGCACTAAAATTTTAGGACAAATACCAGAGAAAACACTTTCCACTTAAGGAAAAACAAAAACCAAACAAAGCCCCCAGCCCAAAAGCAGTAAGGAAGTGCTAGATGAAAATAAACACCACTGCCCCTTTTTTCCACCAAAAAAAAAAAAAAACTACCTCCTGACAAGACCAAAGCCAGGCAACAGTTTTATGAAACTAATTTCAGTCTAGATGCCCAAGTAAACTTTATCTGGAAGATCCTTTTCTGTCTTTAACATAACATGAGCACCTCTCAGATTGAAATTCAACATGAAAGTCAATGTACAGTTGAAACAGACATTGGGTAGGGCAGACAATCCAGAAATACTTTCAGTTATCAAAGATCAGGAGCTTTAAACAGGGCTTCTGAGGACATCATTTTGGAGCAAATAGGGTTCCATGACTCTGTGGAATAAGTTGCTGCATTGAAGCAGGGATGAAATGAGATTAAAAAGTTCTGTAACAAGCTAAATGCAGACACATATTTACATGTCAGAATATGTCTCAAAGTGCCACTTTATCACTTTGTGTTCATATGGGTTTGCTTTACATCAGGTCCCAACCATGCACTATTTTGCTCCCATGTAAATAAATTCTGGGTACCTACTGGAAAAAAATATTTTCCTTCAAATGCATGTATTAATACAGATGACAGATTTCTTCCTATCTCTTCAAAACACAGGGATCCAATATCACACTGAAGCTAAAGCAGTACAATGGCTAGCTGATACCAGAAGGGGCAGAACTATTTTGCATCTCGCTCCATATGTTCTTATATTAGCACTAGCATTTAATTTCATCCAGTGGTTACCCTTGAACAGTTGGTTTTCTTTCTCGGGTGGGATTGTTTTTTCTCCCCTCATTTACCCAGCCAAATGTGGTTCAACCACAAGATTAGATAAGTGACATTTCAGTTGAAGCGTGAGCAGAAAATAAAGATGACAGAAGCACCTTTTCACACTTCCCATTTTAGTGTAACCCAGCAGTTCTTCAAACCCGTTAAGAAAACATTGACAACTTAAAGATCATGCCTTGGCAGTCTTGTTCTATGTCTACATAGGAGAAAAAAAATTACTTGTAACTGAGAGAAAAAGCAAATGACACACAAAACTCAAAGGGAAAACACTCGAGCATTTATGAAACTTTTGTCCAGTGGACATCAGGTATGTGTAATTTTTTCATGTAAGAATTTAAGGTGGGGAGGAGCCCAATGAACTTTTAATCAGGAAGCAAGACAGTATGAGTTATTTAAATGAACTGACTTGCTTTCTCTTGCCTCAGGTTGGTTTTTAGGTTGCTCTGAATTTGAGGAAGGGTAGGGTTTTCTAACATTCTGAAAAAAGCCATTGCATAGTAACTTCATAGTGATTAAATTACTCATTCAGTGAACTATAAGCACCTTGATGGTTTTGAGTCACAATAATACCACAACCTTCAGAGTCAGAGAAACCACATTTCTTTTCATACTAATTTGTTGTTTTGCTTGTTTAATGTAAATTGAATTTAATGATTAAGAAATCAAAGTAATATCTGCAGACTGTTCTCCTTTTATGGAGTTCTATTCTAAATCCATATGAGACTAGTACAAATTAAAAGTAGACAGAATGTATTTTAATCACAAGATATAACCAATAAATGGAACTTCACTTGTTTCTTTTTAAAAATAACTAGCAAGTGGAAAATAAAAGGTAACAAAAACTTTCCCAAAACTAAAAATGGAGAAGCACCAAACGCATTACAAGAGTGTGAAAACAGAGAGAGAAGAGAAAGTGACTGCTGTACAATCTGGTGAAGATAAAAGTCCCATCCTTGTGGGCAATATGATTATTATTCTTGGAGTCACTTTTAAAAACAACCACATGATAAACAGTCCCAAGTTTCTCAAAGACATCTTAATCCTATGGCATACAGCACTTTTCTTAATGTACCTGAAGTCACCTTATTTTAGAGATACTATTACAGTATTATGAGAAACAGAATTTCATTCTGTTACATTACCATATATGAAAACCCCATGGTCTTGGCAAGTATTATGAAACACTCAAGTTTTTTTTGTTAAGGCATTCATGGGGTTTTAACAATCTTAAGAATTTCAGGGGTGAAGGCTTTGGCATTTGCCTCTCCAGTCATGAACTTTCACTGTCTCAAAAAACCTGTTCCCATTTCACTTAGGGGACAGAACATGTCCCAGGGTGGGGAGGCAGTGAAAAACAGAAGATGTCTTACGATGGAGCCTTCAATGAAAGGCAGTGATGGAATCAGCTCTCCTGCACTATGCTAGCATACAGTATTACCTGTTCTAACACATCCCTTCCCAAAATACTGGGGCTCCCCATAACTACCATTTGAACAGAATTTTCCAAGAGAAAGTAAAAAAAGCATTGCTTAGAAGAGAAACAAAGCACAGCCCATCTCTACCCCCTCCTTCTCTCTTTTCTCACCAATGGAGTGGACAAGACAAGCACATACAACCAAGTGCAGCTCTGGGCAGAGGATGACAAAAAATGAGGCAGAAGAAAGAAATCACATTGTATAAAGCAAGACAGAGAACATGCAAAAAAACCCCAAGAAACCACAAAACAAAATAAAAAAGCAAACTCCCAAATGAAAACTGAACAAAGAAAAAAACCCCAACACAACACTAGTACTGCAGACACTGTAGCAATTTTAGTTATGGTTGGGTTTCTTTTCTTTATCATTTACATGGAGAATCTTATTACTATATTATTGAGCATTAGTTTTTAGGAGCCTTTAAAGTCAGTCAACTGTCCCATACTGGAAATTCTGATTAAGAGTGGAAATCTATTAAAAGACACAGCTGCTTACAAATATATAGGTATCTTTTCAACACCATAAAAGCTCTTAAAGTGTTAATAACAACAACAAAAAAAAATGGGTTTAGAGCTAAACTTTGTTTCAGTATGTCCCTTCCCCAATCCCAAACTTGTCATGGACTAATGCGGTCTACGAAAACTTTCATTCAAACTCTATCCTACAATTTAAAACATATGAGTTTACATTTTCACCAGGAATTATTAAAATGAGATATAAAAAAAATCACAGCAAATTATCTCAGAAACAGGATTTTAATAACTCTCTGAAATTAAAAAGAGTTTTAATGCTTTGAACACATTTATCCCACTTTCCTACATTTTAATTGCCTTCAGCCTAAAAAGAACTTAAAAATTCCCGGTCCTAGTTAAATACTTACCATGATACCACCATTTTGTTTTCTTTGGATTCTTGTTACATGTTCTTACATAAAATGAGTTATCTGGAGGTCGCCTCTGCAACAGAAGAAAAGACCTACAAATAATCAAACAATCCTCATATTGTAATACACGAGCTATTTAATAAGCTTTTGTAAGGTTACCATGTGAATGCAGTGAAAATGACATAACAGGCAGGACTAGACCTTTGTCAAGAAAAATCTCTCAAAGATCCAGGTAACAAATGCTTAGTGGAGATACTCCAAGAAAAACATTAATGAAAAATACCAAAGAGTTTGGCAATAAATAGAGGGAGAAATAAAAATAAAGAAAAAAAAAAAGAAAACAACCCAAAAGAAAGAAACGGCTGTTGTTCAAAAAATCCCCAAACTAAATTCCTTTGCAGTTTGAAATCTAATTCTCATGTATTAGATCCAATTCACATCCATAAGGCTCAGCTTGGAGTGGGTGAAAAAACCAAACCTTAATATCTATATCTAAATCCTTACTTCATATTCTTCAGTTTTCTTCGTAAGTGTCATCATTATACAGAACAAGTCATAGGATAGAATACAATATAAAGCCATTTTGGAGTGTTTTTTCAACTACATGCACATGACTAGGACTGACTGGGATGCAACATAAATAGGCATGTTTAGATAGCACACATGGACAAGCTCTGACCACATCTAACTTCCACAGATAGCCCACTGCGAAAGAAATGGTCAAGAGCAAAAGGGCAGTCTCTTTACAAAAGGTCTAAGGTATTAGTGTCATCAGAAAAAAGGCAAAATGAAAATTATCAAGATCACTGAAATAGCACAGATGCAAAGCCTTAGAAGCATCTGCACTAAAGACATTTCAATTCATTTTGCACCACCTCTAGAGACAGGATAATTTTACATAGAATTGTCCTAAAACATGATTGAACTTCAGTTAGGAGAACTAGATGGGTTCCATTTGTTCCTCTTTTCCAATATGTAAGCAGGTTACCATGAAAACAGTGACAAAGTATTTACTGCACTGTTTATTCTGAAGTTCTAGCTTAGTATTTTTTCAGCAGTAGAAATGTAGATATAGTAGTTTTGCCTATTTTAGAATCTGAGAAATGAAAATTTCACTTTGCAAAGTAGAAAACTATTAACTTTTACTTTTTCTACTCCAACAGTGCTGAAAAAGCCCATACCTTTTCTTTGCAGCTGGAAAGCATGCTAATAATGCTAAGACAAACAGATTGCACTGAGAGAGCTGGAGACCAGTCTTCCGTTAGAATGGATAAACAGATATGACCATTGCTATAAACATGAGGATGAACAGGAATATTGTCTCCAGTAAACATGACCTAAAAAAAAAGAACAAAAATACCTGAGACTTATAGTCCACATTTTAAATAAAACTGTATTGTTTTTAGGAAAACAATATAATCTTATTTAAGGAGCAGGTCTGTCATTTTCACTTACACTAAATAATACACTTTACCACATTAGGTTTATTCACTTTTGGAAACTATTAAATGAAATGTAAAATAAACAATGGAAGCCTAAATAGCTAGTGATGATGGAGTTGAATAAATGATATAGAAGATTTCCTATGAATACTTATACAGCATAGAAAAACTCAAAGGTAACTATGTAAAACCAATGAACTAAACCTTTTATATCTTGCAGCCTCAGTCTTTTATGCCCTAAGGAATACAGCTGCCTAGCCAAAATACTGGATTTTAATGATTCTATAAGCCACAATGTTGTACATCAAGAAGCACAAGGAAGAATCACAAATGAGTATTTCTATAATCTTGGACACAACAGAAATTAAGTTCTTACTAACTCATCCAGGTTCCAGCATCAAGAGTAAAATTAAAATGCATCCATCTTATCAACTATAAAATAAAGGACTTGTGAAACTAAAGTTCGTTACCAAATAGGAAATACTTTTAAATTTTTACTTCAAATGGAATATATTTTTATTTGATGTGGATGAACATGGAAGAACAGCATTTAGAACCTTAACTCCTCCCTACTACAGGAAGTATCACAGTCAAAAAAAGATTAGAAAAGGAATTTTGACAACTATTGCTCTTACATCAAGATTTTGTCGAACACATTGTTGGTTCAGGACCAAGGGAAATAGAGTAAAAGTGAGATCTTCATAGCAGTATTAAACTCCTGAACATCTTTTCCAGCGTAACCACTGTCATCTTTTAGGCAAAGACAAAATAAATCTCTACCACTCATAACCATAATACCCAGCAGTCTCTTAAGTGTTTCTTAAGTTACATAGATACGTGTACAAGTATGCAAACAGGTACACAACACACCCACCTCATCACTGACAACAAGACAGAGGCAACACCCTCATCATATAGGAAACAGAAATCAGAGAGCTTAATTTATCTGCCAAATAGAAGACATGTTTCTAAGGCAGAAGAAAAACTGGATTCAGAATAATCTTTCATAGGTCTTTTAACCTCTTACTTAAGCCTTGAAGAGCTTACCTTCAGAATCCAGTAATGTATTTCACTTGTAACTAATATCTTCCTTTTACATGAAAACCAGAATTAGACATACTAGGTAAGTAAAAGCATGCATGCTGTGATAGACACATACATTTAAAAGCAGAAAACAACCAAGTGATTAAGCAGCAGAAGTGTAAACTGTCAAGTAAGTCACAGTAAGTAGATTTGCCAGAGAGATAATTATGACCCAGAGGTTCATAGCACAGAATGACCTTACTGCACAGCAGCATTTTAAAAAGTGAAATTCTAGCCATCTACAACAATCAAATATCCAGTACTTAAATTTTTAATTGTTTTCTGTGCTAAAATTCAGTGTAGATGTATGGATCTAATTTGATGCTTAACAATAAATTGCACAGAGCCACACACACAGCTTGGGTAATGAATACAAACAGTACCTACTTGGAATCAAATTAAAGTGGCTACTCTCTTGTGGATCACCTATGAGTAGTTCACTGCAAACCTGATGAGGTGCAGAAGTACAGGTGGCCAGTTTGTTCTTTGAAACCTAAGACTGAAAAGTCAGCATCCTAGTTTTTATCACGGTACCCAAAAATATTTAATGTTTATGGTTTAAGTGTCTCTCACAGCTCCACTCTTCAGTTTTACAACAAATAAAGAGAAGTTGCAGAGTTCACTCTTAGAACTTTGAGCTGAAACAGACAGGACAAGAACTGAGGTTTTCTTCCTTTTCTCCTTCCTTTTTTAGAAAAGAAGAGGTGACTACTCTTACCAGCCTTGTTTTGAAACATTTCCCTCAGGTGACAGAGGGATGGATGTACACAGCACATCCTGCAGTCTCTAAGTACTGCTGTCCCTTCAGTTTAGGCTGTCATGAAAGCAATGCAGCATCTCATACCTCAATTATCAAACTCTTTGCAGGCCTCTCAAACACGTCATGTATCTATGAGAATCCCTATCAGAAGCACAGTATTTCTTCAGCTATATTAATAATGGCAGCAGAGAAGATGCGATAGTCTTAAAAACAAACTAGAAAAAAATATGTTGAAAGCAAGAAGAGATGGGACAAAGCAGCAATTTGTGGTTTACCTGGCTCCTACATCGCAATAAAGGGGATCTTCCTATTTACCTTGTATTTGTCTCTCACATGATACGGATATCAACCTCAAGAAGCCTTCAGATTACACTACTTTCATCTCCTATGAAATCAGGTAGACTGCCAAAGCATTGTACCTCGCTGCAGAATCATTTTTAAAAGAAAAGGCATCTGAGCAATGCATTTAATACAAATTAAAGTAATTAAACCTCACATCAGGATATGTGGATGATATAACACTCAGCACGTGTCATACAGATACAATATACAGATATAATACAAAGGTAATGTTAAGCAAGGAAGAAGGCAGCAGTTACCTGAGGCGAATCAAAAGGATACCGACTACTAAACTTAAATAAAAGCTGAAATTTCTCCCCTTCATATAGTGTTCCTGGAGCACCTTCCATGTCTACAATCCACCTAAGGAACAGGGGAAAAAGTTGTTAGTACTGTGGACTGACAAACTGTGGTTTTATTCCTGGAGCACAGGACAAACCAAATCAACATGAATCAGAGCCAAACCTTCTAAATTCGTTATTAACATTGTAACAGTCACAAAGGTGAGCAATGCATCAAGTCTACATTTGAAGGAAACAAGCTTGGTATTTTACATACAGGCATTGACATAGTGCTGTAAATTATAAATATGACTTGAACTCAACACAGATCCATCAGTTGAAATAAAAAACCTGTTTGAAAGCTTATTCCTACATAAAAACAGGTTTGGAAGGAAACAAACTAGTACACGTTCTCTTTCATGTTGTTTTTCTTTCGTTTTCTGTCACAGAAAACATCAGCACAGTTTATTACAACAAAATCTGTATCCAAGGGGAAAGGACAAAGCTCATCTTGTACTTTTATCTATGAAAAGCTCAGAAATTCAACAGTACCTGGCAGGTAATGAACCAAAACTGGAAAAGCTAATAGTATAAAAAGGAAAAGGTCCCAGAAAATTAAAAGCAAAAGCAAACAAAAAAAAGAATTATTTGCAACTGTAATAGAGATAATACCTCAGCATATCACACTATTCTTTTTCCTCTGTTTCTGGTCCTTCCATCATAACATGAAAGTAACTGATAGGTGGAGTTGCCAGGGGAAGAGAATCATAGAATCAGCTGGGTTGGAAGGGACCTCCAAGATCACCAAGTCCAACCCGTGATCCTCTACTGCTGCGGTTGCTAGACCATGGCACTAAGTGCCACATCCAGTCTCATCTTAAAAACCTCCAGGGACGGAGAATCCACCACTTCCCTGGGCAGCCCATTCCAATGGCTGATTACCCTCTCTGTAAAGAAATTCTTTCTAATATGTAACCTAAACCTCCCCTGGTAGAAGCTTAAGACCATGCCCTCTTGTCTTGCTGATGGTTGCCTGGGAGAAGAGACCAACCCCCACCTGGCTACAACCTCCTTTCAGGGAGTTGGAGAGAGTGATGAGGTTGAGTTGATGAGAGTGACCCCTGAGCCTCCTCTTCTCCAGGCTGAACAGCCCCAGCTCCCTCAGCCTCTCCTCATAGGACTTGTGCTTGAGTCCCTTCACCAGCCTAGTTGCTCTCCTCTGGACCTGCTCCAGCACCTCAATATCCTTCCTGAACTGAGGGGCCCAGAACTGGACACAGCACTCAAGGTGTGGCCTCACCAGCTCTGGGTACAGGGGAAGAATCACTTCCTTGGACCCGTTGGCCACACTGTTCCTGATACAGGCCAGGATGCCACTGGCCTCCTTGGTCACCTGGGCACACTGCTGGCTCATGTTCAGCTTCCTGTCAATCCAAACTCCCAGGTCCCTTTCTGCCGCTTTGCTTTCCAGCCACTCTGTCCCCAGTCTGTAGTGCTGCATGGGGTTGTTGTGGCCAAAGTGCAGGACCCAGTACTTGGCCTTGTTGAACCTCATCTCGTTGGAATGAGAAGGTGGTGTTCAGTGTAGGGTTTTTATTGTGGTTGGGTTTGGGTTGTGTTGTAGGTTTTTTAATCCAGTTAAAAATAGATGCTTTGAATATTGTTCAAAACATTCAGCAACATTCTGCTAACTTCTGTCATCTTACAGAGTTCTACCGTTGATCCTTTGCAGTATCATTTTCTCATTTTCATTTTTCACCCTTGATTGAGTTTTACAGATTTGAGCAACGGGATAAGGCAAAAATTCAGCAAGAGACTACAAAAATGGTCAGACAGGTTTTACATCGACTCAAAGAAGGCAGCTGAGATTCTGCAGAACAGCAATGTGCTCAGAAAAGTTGACATCTCCAGCTGGCAGCCCTGATGATCATATTCCCAACCTCTTCATCTTCCTGTCATATATACCCTCCCTGTGTATTTAAATCATGCACATTTTTTATCTTCCCCTCTATTATTCTTTGGGCTTCAGGAGATTTTTTTGAGAAAAACTGCTTATCTAATGAACTGCTAGCTGTCACACTCTTCAAGAGGAATGCAACTTCAACAGTAGCACAGTGATGGCTGTCATATATTCCATATTTTTATTTTTATTTAATCTATCTACACTCCAAACCACTTATCTCTTCTTATGCCTTCTGCTTTTACATTTATACACATGGTGCACCAATACTCTTTAGATTTACTGCTGCTTGTGATCCAGAAAACTTCCACTTTCAAGTTTTTAAAATAGTTTACTTTACTAAGTAGAAGATAACTCTGCCTGGACATTACTCTTTTTCTTTTATGGTCAAGGAATCACTAGAACCCATCTTTCCTGTGTGCTTTATGGTTTAGCCTTCTCAAATTTCTAATCCTTGTGTATTTAAAATAGAAGTTTGCTTAACATTTTAAATGACCCAGTTACATCATGGGATCCAATTATTTTGTTCAACATCTTTAAAACCCAAACAAATATTGCTCCACAAATTTTTACTGCACCAGTTCAAACTGCAACTTCATTAATGAACTCAGAACATGCTAGCTGACACCAAAAACCTTCAAAGACAAAAAAATAGAATGTTACTTGTGACAGGAAGCTTCTAAAACAGGGAGTTTCAAAATCTAGCATGACAGTAATCAGGAAGCTTTTAGTGTGTAAGGAATTGAAAGGTATAAAAAATGTACATGACAGAAATAATAATGAGACATACTAAGAAAAATCAACAAACAGGAAAAAGATACAGATTTTTTTTTTTCCTTTTTCATCTGCTGTGAACTTTGATTTAATGGTCATTTTCTGTTGAAGTGAGTGAAAAACACTTGCAATATTAGATTGAGTCCTTTTTGCAGAAAATTTGAAAACCCGAAGTAGAGCAAGAAACACAAGCTGCAATTCAGCATTTCTACAACAGGTTATTACTATTTCTACCAAACTCTGGGAACTGCTATTTCAATTTTTTTTTTAGTCTTACTCATCTACATGAAGTACCACAAAGACCAGCATCACTTAAGAAGCAATACAGGTGTTTGATTCAGTATAATACAAGGTTTAGAAAAGCCTCATGTAACACAGTCTGAATGATGCCACCAAAAATGCAGATGTGAAACATCAGAATTCAGCTCTATGCTGTTTTTAAATTGATCCATCAATCAGTAACTGAGTCCAGAACATATAGCCTGATATCTACACTCTCGTTAATGTTTACATCTGCTAAATTTTAAAAATTTGTCCAAAATTAAGCTAAGAAAATTATGAAAAAGGAATGTTAACAGTCTAAATCTTTTAAACTTCAGTCAGGTAAAAAAACCAGTTCAGTTCCAAGAACAACTTCTGTCCATTTCAATGGACACAGAATATTTTACCATGTTTCTCTTCCCATTTCACTAATCATAAAAAAAGTTAAGGCAGGGAGAAAAGCACAAACAAGTGTACCCAGACAACTTTGCTTTATAAGAACTTTCCTTCACTTGCTTTAGAGAAAGAAGGTAATGTAAATTAACAGCTACGACATACATTCTATACAAATAACACAGAACTTGAAGACAGCTACTCCATTATGTCAATAAATCTAAAGGGATTTCAGAGGTTAGTAGCTATGAAAGACTGTTAAATTATTTTATTCTAAAATATGCAGGGGCTTTTACCAACTGACAGTTTGTTAGACAATAAAAAGCCAAATAAAAATTTAATAATCACTATCCAGTTCCTGAAAGTGTCCCAACACATTACTGCAATATGGTTATTAAGGAGAGCAACGTTTCATTGTCTACACTGAAAGCAAAAATTTGTGATACTTGGAATTGGTGGAAGTGACATAAAGAGAACTTCCCTTACTTACATTTTCAGCATAGCAGAAATAAGATATGTACTTACTGTGTAATTGAATTTTGTACACTCTTTTCATCTAGAGTCATTCCCGGAGGTGGATCATTTTGAAATGCCAATAGTTCTTTCTGTAATCGTTTCTATAAAGAAATTGTACAGAATAACTTAAATACTAAATTAAATTCAACAATAAACATGCACACTAAAGTATATTTCACCAATTATTAAAAGATAAAAGGAGTCTTATTTGAAAATTTAAAAACAAAGTGAAATTGAAAGGTGAGCAAAAAGGAAGACTCCTCTCCAAGAAATTTAACTGAAAAGTCACAGGCAAAAAAGGTCACAGGCTTTAAACTTACTTTTTGGTTAAAATGAAGTGGCATTTACATTTGCAACACTGCAACGTGAAGATCTGTTTCATGACAAACTACACAGATGTATTAATTATTTTGTCATATTACAAAGATGTCTATGAGAGCTCTACACCTAGCAGAGAATATTTCACATTCGCACGATAGCATGAGAATTATAATTAATTCTACAAGATTTTAACAGCACAACTCTCCCTCCTCTATGTAATTTAAGACACTTCTATCTGGCATATGTGCAAGCCAGAGGACAGAACAGAAACTAAAACAAGACTAGGTGAATTGCAGAACACAAACTATTTAACAACTGTATAGTAACTGCATGTTAGAACCTACAGAGTCACAGTACATAGAAAAGAGTTATACTGGTGACTCAGGTAATTCTTACCTATTTTGACAGGGATAAATCAATTGCTAACTGCAAACAGCTGCTTCACTAACAACTATAAGCACTGTTTCTTACAATCTATGGAGCAAGGGAAATACAACCTCTGTGAAGTGCTGCCATTGGCACTGCTTTCAGACTGTATTTTCTCCACATAAACAGTTATGCAATATGCTTTGTCATTTCCAAGCCATGTAGATGACAAAAAGTTCAAGGCTTTCTCATTTCCTACTTTCCTTTCTCCTGTCAATCATTTTAAGGTTTACCACCTGCAAGTGCACTTCAATCACCCTACTAGTGAATATGATCTTACACTCAAAAGGAATAAAAATACATGGTTTGGGGGTTTAGTATCTCATTTCCATTCAATATCCAATTTTTTTTTAAATATAGGTTTATCACGCATTTGTAGATGTTTTCCAAACAACTTTTCCAGAACTTAAAAAAATCCACGGGGGAAAATAAAGTTGTCCTAGTTAGGACAACTGAGATCAGTTCATCATGGTGGGTGTAACCCAAAACTGTATTCTATAGCCTTCCATGCCATTTCCCAGAAACTAGACTATTGTTGTCAATAGACTATTCGCACCCTCTGCCCATAGAGCCTGACTCCTCAGGCTATAAACTAGGTGTTAAGAGGCCTGTGAGATAGGAGGATGTTTCTGTCCTCACACCCTTTGTGAAACTCCCCACCCTGAGGGGAGTACCAAGCATTCCTGCCTGAACTGGAGGATATATAATCTTGGAGTTTTGGAACATTTTTCAACCCACTCGTGGGATCCAGAGGACGGCTGCATCTCATCGCTCTCAACCAGACTTAGACCACCACTGGACTGCGATCACCAGTTCTGGCCAGACTGCAGCAGCTCTCCCACCAGCAGGTTCTTCCCCTCTCCCTTTACTTTGGACTCAAACAGGGCCCAAGGAACACCACTTTGTTCAGGCCCCAGGGTACTGGGTTATACATTTGGGTTTTTGTGGGTTGAGACCAATTGTTTGTTTGTATTATTGTACTTACTGTATTATTTTAATAAATTGTTATTCTGACTTATAATCTCTCCTCTGAGTTGGGTTCATTCCCCCTGCTGGTTAACTTTTAAACCAGCACAAAAGTGCTGACTGGTAAACTTAGAAATGATGCAGTATCTTATCAATATTTTTGAAACTGGACTACAATAAATTCAGCCACACAATTCACAAAGAAAAGGCCCCCACAGATTAACAATCTACATTCTGAAAAATACTGAAATAATTTTCTATCTCTATTAAGCAGCCCTGAAAACTTGCTTTGGGCTTCTATTTTGAAAGTTTCCCCTACCTTGAACATAGATACAATATAAATGAACTGAAAACCCAATGCTAGCATTTTCATACGAAAGCCACATACGTTGTTAACACACTGAAAAACAGATTAGAACACTAGTGTTTATCTTTTGCTTTCTGCACAATTTAAGAAAATACTAACAGTGTTTTTAACACCAACTATTATGAACTAAAATGTAAAGGAGTAAGGTTACAAAACCATTTTACAAATCCTTAATTTGAATGGCAGATACTCATTTTTAAGTCAATTCTCTTTCTGGTACTTCCCCAGACCACCATCAAATAAACCTCAATGGCAGTCCCAGTGCACGCTTTCGCATATAGAGAAATATTTTAAAAGTTCAGAAATGAGAACTTTATACAATAAGGGAAATTCAAGCTCCCTTAAAAAGGAGACTTAGTTGAAAAATAGTAAGGAACAGCAAATAATTCAGTAGATCCATTTACTTATCCTTGTAGACTAACTATACAACATCTTTATAAAAAGGAGTCTAAAATCCATTTGAGAATTGAATTAAAACCAGCCACATTAAGCTATCAGTATCTGACAGTAAATTGGAGAGGAAATTTTGTTTTATATGTATCCTACAAAAAATTCCAAATTATCAACACTTAAAATATCCTCTCATTCCAAGTTTGCACCTTTGTCCCTTTTTCCAGCAACCTTCTTTTCAGTCAAATAGTCTCAGTCATTCTTTCCATCTCACCAGTGTGAATGTATTATCTGACTGCTTCACAGCTTTTCAGTTCTCACACACTATATTTATGATTCTTGCTAAAAAAACAGTAGCACAAGGAAAAAACAATAATTATAATGTGTACTTGATCATCACAGTACCACTGAAGTGCTCTGTTCCTCTGATCCTAAAGCATTTGCTGATACTGTCATGAGGGTCTGTCCAGTAAACACAAATAATACATACAGACAACATACTGCTTCTCATAATTTCCAATACAAAATGGAAAAACTATCCCAGAGAAATAACAGGAGATACTATTTACAATTTAGGTCAAAAGTATCACAACAAACACATCATATTTTAACAGACAAAAAAGAATTTATCATTTCCAGGTTAGCCAATTCAAACAAGTATCAACATAAGCCAAGAAAGGAAGTTCAAAGAAGGTGTATCCACTCCCACCCCTAAAAAATGCTGGAAAACTGGAAACAACAGATAAGGAGAAGGTTGAGGTACTCAATAACTTTTTTTTTGCCTCAGTCTGCAATGGCAACCTCTCTTCCCACACCTTGCAAATGGATGGACAGCAGGATGGAGACTGGGGAAGCAAAGTCCCTCCCACTGGAAGTAAAGGTCAGGTTCATGACCACTTGAGGAACCTGAATATACACAAGTGTCTTGGGCCCAGTGAGATGGAAGCAAGGCAGTCTATAAAAAAAGAGAACTGCTTCTATTGGACAAAGAGATACACTTTTAGGATATGAGTTAAGCCCATTATTTGTTGGGGGTTTTTTCCCCACAACTGGAATTATAAAATATACTACCCATTTTACAATTATCTACTATTCCATTAACCATGCCATACAAGTTTATCATTCCTTATCTGATAAACATAGCTGGGTATCTTTAATAGGCTTTCACCACATATTTTCAAAACTTGCTTATTTTTCTATCAAGCATCAACTCAATTATTTCTGTACAGACTAACAAAGACTAAAGACCTTTTCCAGAACGAGAGTACTCTATAGCAACTGGAACAAAACTGTAGAGGGCATCCTGGCCTACTAACCAAAAGTCATTCAAATAGGGAAAAAATGTTTAAAGAGACAGGCTAAGTAATATTTAGAAAATAATCTTTTAATCAACCTCTGTAGTCAATGCATTCCAGGGTTTCACTACCCTGATGGTATAAAATGTTTCTTTTGTATCTTATTGGAATATCTCATGTTCCAATTTGTATCTGTTGCCCTTGTCTTCCCACTGTGACTATTTTCCCTGATATTCCCGTATTATGTTGTTTTACCCATCCACAAGATCTCTCCTTTGCCTTCTCACAGCTGAAGAAACCCAGCCAGTCTCCCTGTACATCATGCAGTTCAGCCCCACTCACACTGCCTGTCATCTGTTGGATTCACTCCAGTACACCAGTGTCTTTCCTGTATCTTGTGCTGTGGCTCCCTACAGACAGCACTCCAGATGTGGTCTCAAGTGCCAGGGAGAGAGAGAAAAAATCATTTTCCTCAAGCTGCTGGCTGCATGCTAGCACATACAGTCCAGCATACAGCTACAGAAATTCAAAAAACTTGGAAGATATTCCCTAAAGATATCATGAAGAACTATTTTTTCTTCCTCTCTTTCTTACAACTTATAATAATTTGTCTCCTGTTGTGTCTCATTAATAAAGAAATTGGATTATCAGGAGACAGATCTAGTTCAAAAGAAAATCTCTTAAATGAAGCCCTTAAAGGTTAGATTCATATAGTTTAATTAGGAAACTGAGCTCCTCATTACCATAGTAATTCAGAAAACATTTGAAGTTTAAATTAAAATACTTGGAATTAATTCCTCTCCAGTGTTTAACAGTATTTGCACTAGCTGACCAAAAAGATTACAAAGAACATTGATTTTCTCAGAGCAACACTAAGTAAACTCGCATTATTAGCTTCAAGATTCAATGGTGAACTTTTAAAAAACTTGACTCTGGTATATCAAGCCCATACACATCAGCTACAAATGCCATGCTGCAACTCACATTTGAAAAGGAACAACTTCAGTGGTGGAAAAGCCTTCCTTTATCTGACAGCTATGAATATGGATTCCCCTCCCCCTCCCCCAAAATTTTGGAAATTAAAAGCAACATGCACAGCTGGACAAAGTATAGTGGATTAACACTTTTCAGACAATCTTCACTATCTCATTTGTAGAATCTTATAAACTTAGGACTTGAAGATACCTCAGAGAAGTCACCTCTCCATCTTCCTAACATAAGGATGGATCAAAGAATCTTCAAATACCATTGTAGTTAAAAGCCTTTAATATTTTTCAAATCACTTTATCTCTTGCATTTGTAATTGGAAGAATTTTCTTCACAGTAAGAGATC